TATGAAGGGAATGCAGGTCTTTCGGGTATGGAAAAATAGTTGAAGTGTTGTAAATAACCTTGAGAATTAGAAGTCAAAAATGTCTAAAGCCTACTGCCTGTAAATTTGACTTTGCCTACTGGTAGTATCAAGTATTGTTATCAGTCCTTAGGTTTGTAAACAGAAGAGACAAAAGCTCAGTAATACTACTTATGCCTCTCAAAATGATTGGAACCCAATTCAATCAATCTTCAACTCAAGGTGATTGAAAAATGCAAACCATACTATGGAGGGGGGAAAAAAGTTGATGGTTTTTTTTTTTAAACCTACTATACACTATCAGGTAAAATAATTTGAACGGTTAAATGACTGTTTTTAAATACTAGACTGAACTGTATACAATAAGAAAAACTTACCACAGGGTTATGATTTTGTAATTATGCAAATTAAATGTTTTCTGGGTTGAGGCAGTGTTACTATTGTAGTACAAATGCGTGAGTGCTTTTGAGCAAATGAAATTAGAATTCATGCTTCACATGACAGATTACTAGGTGAAAGTGAGTTGTCTGCCTCCATCAAAAGTGAAATATCTAATAAAATATATTCTTTGGGCTGTCATTTCAAAACCCTTCAGTTCAGCACAGATGGATTTGTACTAACTTGAAGGTGTGTTCTGCAACAAGAACACACCTAATGCACACAAATAAAGCAAAGTGGTCAAAGCACTGAATATCTGTGATAACTATTTGTTACCTTCAAGGCCATATGGATTTTTCCTTTGAATAACGTTTTAAATTCTTTAATGCCAGAGAACTGACAACTATTCTAGCATCTTTCAGATTTGATCTAAAATAGCTTTCACTAATCTGCAGCTTTCAGATTTCATCTAAATTTGGTTCTCAAGTTAGCAAGCCAATCCTGGAATGCCCTTATGGCCATGGAATAGTTTGTGTGCATGCTGATGCTGAAAGTAGCAAAAACTCTGGAATGATGATTATGGGAATCAGCTGTACTGTGTGGAAACCACTTAGTATTTACAGTTAATAAAATGTAAAATTGATGTATCATAAGGAAATAAATGAAACTGACCTTTATAAAAATCAGCTATTTTAAGTTATTTGAGTAGGAATCAAGCTAAGGCACCTTAATTCTGGAACAAATTCCTTTTAAAAAAACATCTGAATAAACCCCAATAGAACTTGAACTATTGAAAGTATTTGCATGAAATTGCACCTGGCCCAACGCTCCTAGTTTTGCCCTGCAGCTGTTGTATTACATTCCCCACTTCCTGTCCTCTGAAGAGCCTCTGACTCTGTGCCTACTTCAGCAATGAGATTTTTTTCATAATGTTAATGTAAAGATGTTTGTGTTACTGTTTATAACTACAATTGTAAATAAACCTGTACAATTTGAACATAACTTGTTCTAACAGAAGGCATTTAATTTTACACTGTTTGATTTCTGGTGGCCTAACTATAGTTTTTCTAAAAGTAACTTTTTTTCATGGGTTGGGGGGAGGGGGAATTAGATACTTAAAGTGAGAAAAGTAGTTGGCTACAGTTCATAGGCAGCTGGTGTGAGTTTTTTTAAAGTATTTATGTTTGCTTTTAATTTTGAAAGACTTTCATATATCAAATGAAATATAACAGTAGAAAATAGACAAAGCTCCATTATGTCAGTAATATATTTGTAAGTATATGGTTCACCTATCATTAAAATTCATTTGGTTAATTTTATTGGCTGACAATGGTCAACATTGCAGGGATCAGAGCTTATATTTTGAACTTTGCTGTTTATAAATGAACAAATGGTAGAATAATTCAAAAGCTGATTACAAAGCATTCCTAATTCTGTCACATTTTTGTTATGAAAAATATTGACAGCATATTAATATGTAACAATTTTTGCTCACTATTAGTGGGAGGAGGGAAAAAATAATTTTGCATTATATTACTGACTTGGGAAGTCAGGGTATAATGGTTTCACAAGTAGCTGAAGTATTTCTAATATCTTGAACAATCCAGCTATCCGTAGTGAAAATTACATTGTTTTAAAATAATTAGCCATGCTTATTTCAAACATAGGAGGAAGGTAATATACACTGCTCCATTATCAGCAATATATGTCCTTTTAGCTAACTGGTACAGTAACTCTGCATTAAAACTTACTTGAAGCGGGTTCTAGACCACGAAAGCTTATACCCAAATAAATGTGTTAGTCTCTAAGGTGCCACAAGGACTCCTCATTGTTTTTATCTCTGTAGGTTAAACATCACCAACATTATGGAATTCATAATTTATGCCACCAAAAGGGATGATAAAAAACTAACCATTTCTGAGATAATTTATAGGTTGTTTACAGAATTATATTAGACAACCTATGAAAAACGTTTTCAGTATTTTTTTATCTCACAATGTAATTATCCACAATTGGAGGAGGAGACTGTTTTCAATTCATTTTAGTAACTTGCATTTTTTTAATATGAAGTAGCTACACAGCAGTTTTTTGCTAAACAACAAATCCAATTACAGTGTGGAGTGGAGTGTAAATAGGAAGGGTATATTAGAAGATTCAAAATGTTACCTATTTATCTTCCCCCTCTATCTTCCTTATATTTCTTTTAATTATTCTCTAGAAGCTTTCAGAGTCCTGAATTATTGCAAAAGATGTCTGTGTGTAGCCCTCAGTGTTTCTGAATGTAAAATGGAAGCTGCTACCTCCATTTTTGATGAATTCTTTCTCTGTTTCATTTAACTCTCTTTGGATAATGGTCTAAGGTCTCCAGCCCAATCCTGAATGTCTACACTGCAGTTAAACAGCCTCTTACCCCAAGCCCCATGAGCCAGAGACAACTGATGCAGGCCAGCTGTGGGATTTTAGTTGTAGTGTAGACATTGTGAGCACATGTTTACCATTTCTTAATTAATAAACCAATGGGACTAATGTGTAAAACTGAAATATGTGTATAAGTATTTGCAGGATTGGGGCCTTTATTGCTAATTCTTATTTCTAATGCCTTATCTGTGGAGATAATACCTTCTTAATTGCATTGTCCTCTTTAGATTTAATAAGTTATTTGCTGCTCTTTCAGTTTAGCTTCTGTTATGAGCATATACCATTCCAGTCCTGTAACCTGCTCAACAGTATTGATTTTTACCATGATTTTAAAATGTATTTCCCAAAGTACTGAGACAGACATGTAACTTAACTGTTTTAGTATAGAGATTCTATTAAATTGCATAGAGAATTTGCCCTTTAAAAATATACCTTCTGTGTACTAGTAACTTGTGCTGTTGGGGAAAACAGTACCCAGAAAACAGCTTTCAAGCCTTGTGAGTTCGACTTTTAAAAGACTATTTTCAGTTTTTCTGGTATTGTAATATTACAAAACTATACCTTTCAAAACTTACTGAATTTTGGATTTGTAGATTTGACTATTTTTAGTGTTTTTTTTCTAGGAGTTTTCCTAACAGGCATGTTTCCCATGCCACCGAGCCTCCCACTTCTCTCTGCTGAGGCTGTCTCTCCAATATTTCTACTTCAAGCTCTTGAAGTCTGAGCTGTGGCACCATCTCTTTTTATGCTGGGTTGTCAACTGTGCTGAACTATATGGTGCTTTTGTGGGCTGAATAAATGTCATTAGGATGAAAATCAAACATCTTTCCCATTTACACCATGTCTAGGTTAACAGGAGTTAAAGGCATATTGTACTTTAACACACTGCACCGTACACGCCCCCTGTTCAAATGCATCTTTAGTAGGTTTGTAGTTTTTAGCTAAACTGATAAGCACGAGAGTTAAAAAAAGCATTATTCATGCAAAATAACTGTAGTGCATCTAAATACCTAAACAAGGGTGTTGCATATTTCTTAGTTGGTGTAGCCAAGCTTATTGCACAGAGCAGTGTTCCGTGTATCCCTAATAGTTGGTTCGTTTTAACTGTTTGCTATAATTGGAACCTTGACTGAAATTATCCAGACAGAAGAAACGCTTCTGAAAAATATTAAGAATAGGAAATATGGAAATGAGGGTGCAGGGGCAAAGTTATGCAAAGTAGAGCAGTAGCTGGTAGTCTGTAGAACCAAATCATTAGAAAACTATAGTTAGGGGAAGTCCTCCTCTGTAAAGGAAGAATGGGATATGGTGATGTTGATGGATAACCTGTTCGCTAGAACCTGGCTGTATAAGACCTGATCTCCAGTGAATAAGCCTTAAGCATTCTATGGTGGGTACCTGGAGCTGCAAAGGTAAAGTCACAATACACAGACTATCACAGCAGACAGCTAAGAGGCCCAAATTCACAGCTACCATGTGTGAGGTGACTTTGGCCTGAGTTGTTCTTGCAGATCCTCATCTGCCCAATTGGTCTGTTTTAAACAGGAAGAGCAAGAACCTCAAGGCATTTAATAGTTTGGGTGCACATTTGTTTTAATTACATTAAAATAGAAAGCCAAACTGTATTCTATACAAAAATAGCCTTTTAAGCTTTCCATTCTCTTAAGTATCAGAGATCATCCTGTGGACTCCCTTGGTGGGGGCACCCTTGGTGGGGGCAGTGCTGTCTCCTCAGTTTTCCCATGCCGGGCTCTCTCACAGCAGTGGTATAAGGGTCTGAACTAATCACTTAATCTCTCTCTGCCTTAAAGTCCCAAATGGCCTGGGACCGTTCGCTACAATCTGGCTGGAACGTTTCAAATTGCTTGTTAGTCCACAGTGCCTCTTCTATGGCCGCTTCCCAGGGGTCGATTTCATATTTCAAGGTGGGAGTGAGCAGTAGGTCCAGGTGGAGTGAGGTTGCTTCCAGGAGGCCGGTGTGCTGGGGGAGAGCATACTGCTGTTGTCCTTCCCCCCAGGGAAGGATGTGCCTGCGTTCACAGGGGCCCTGCCCTCATTCCCCAGCCCCATGAGGGGCACAGAACAGGGCAGCCTCACACCCCTCTTCTTTGCCCGCAACTCCTGCCCTCCGGAGCAGAGGACGTGGCTGCGCGCAACAGAACTACAACACCCAGCAGGCCCCAGGTGCGATCGTTTCCATTGCGCATGCGCCCTGCCCTCCCCCGTGGGTCTGTCAGCTGAGGCTGGGTTGGCCTGGGGCTGAGATGCTGGCGGCGCGAGGAGCCATGGCCAGTGAGTGACTCTCCCTCGTGGGGCAGGGGGGCCGACTGCGCCGCCCGTGAGTGCGCGTGCGCGGGGAGAGGGGTCTCCAAGAGCAGCTCCCACCCCGGAGGCGCAGGGGCGGGGGCGCTTCCTGCGTGTGCCTGTAATATCGGGTTCCCATCCCCCCGCACGGCCCAGGGGGCTTGGCTGCCTCTGGGAGGGAGAATACATGTAAATCTACCTGCTGCCCCCCAGTCTCCTTCCCCCCATGGGGCTCCTGGCTTCCTGCTCCCCCACAGCACCTCCCCCCTCTGCCCCCCAACCTCTTTCCCCCATGGGGCTCCTGGCTTTCTGCTCCCCCACAGCACCTCCCTCTCTACCCCCTAACCTCTTCCCCCCCCATGGGGCTCCTGGCTTTCTGTGCCCCAACAGCACCTCCCTCTCTGCCCCCCAACCTCTTCCCCCCCCCCATGGGGCTCCTGGCTTTCTGCTCCCCCACAGCACCTCCCTCTCTGCCCCCCAACCTCTGCCCCCCCCCCATGGGGCTCCTGGCTTTCTGCTCCCCCACAGCACCTCCCTCTCTACCCCCTAACCTCTTCCCCCCCCATGGGGCTCCTGGCTTTCTGTGCCCCAACAGCATCTCCCCCCTTTTCCCCCCAACCTCTTCCCCCCCATAGGGCTCCTGGCTTTCTGCTCCCCCACAGCATCTCCCCCTCTGCCCCCCAACCTCTTTCCCCTCCATGGGGCTCCTGGGTTTCTGCACCCCAACAGCACCTCCGCCTCTGCCCCCCAACCTCTTCCCCCCCCATGGGGTTCCTGGCTTTCTGTGCCCCAACAGCACCTCCCCCCTGCCCCCCAACCTCTTCCTCCCCATGGGGATCCTGGCTTTCTGTGCCCCAACAGCACCTCCCCCCTGCCCCCCAACCTCTTCCTCCCCATGGGGATCCTGGCTTTCTGCGCCCTAACAGCACCTTCCCCTCCGCCCCCAAACCTCTTTCCCCTCCATGGGGCTCCTGGCTTTCTGCGCCCCAACAGCATCTGGCTCTCTGCCTGCTTCCCCCACCAACCTCCTTTCCCTCGCCCCCCCATGGGGCTCCTGGCTTCCAGTTCCCACATAGCACCTCCCTCTCTGTCTGCTTCCCCCACCAACCACCTTTCCCTCCTCCCCATGGGGCTTCTGGCTCCAGCTGCCCAATGTGCCCGATCTGTCTCCCAGCCTGACGTCTTTGGTACTTTTTTCCTTTCCTCTCTTCTCCCCTGGTAGACCACAGTCAGCTATGTGGTGGGAGGGGGAAAGTGGGTCTGAGAGTCTATAATCTACTTGAGTCTCATTGTGTTCTCTTCCTCTCACACCAAGTTCTTATTTTTTACTTTCAGTTGTATGGGATGTTGGATGCTGCCAAAGGCAGGATCCTGAACTAGATCATCTGATAATCTGATCGGGTGTGTTAGATGTTGACAATTTTAAGCCTTCAAACCATTTCACAGACTGTTACACTAAGGTTTGTGAAATATTAAAGGCACACAGGATTAAGCAGGCTTGTGCATTCTGCACTTAGCAACAGAGTGGTAGAAGGTTATTGGGCTATATATTGGTAGTTCTGAACATGAAGTGTTTTCAAAGACTTGGTCTCCAATTTGTTTAGCTTCTGATATTTCATAAAGCTGAAGGATGCTTTGTAGGGATGCAAAGATGAAGCAGGGTTGGCTTGTGCCGGCAGCTGAGCAGTCTGCATACCTGGAGACCTGAATCCATCCCTTATGATTTCTTTTGGTGTATTTTCTGTAGATGCCAAGACATAGAAAATTAATATAATTGTCTGTACTTCTATTAGTCTTCCATCTAAAGATCTTAATATGCTTAAGAACATTAATTTAATTTATGAAGTCTCATAACTCATAGTGAGGTGGGTAAGCTTTATTATCTCCATTTCACAAACTGAGAAACTGAGGGCACAGAAAGGTTAACTCAAGTGACTTGCCCAATGTTTCACAGTTTGGCACTTAAACATCATGCCAGGCTATTCAGTTTCTGCACTGTGCACGCTCTTGCTCTCTCTGTTATTCTGTCTGAATAACTGAGATTTTGTTGAGGTATAAAGTCTGTTTTTATTTCAGTGAGCAAATTTTCTAAAATTGTTTTCTGAACTTTCAGAGGAAGGGAGAGGAGTTGAGAACACCACAAATTCTTGCCATTGTTAAACAGACTCTGAGGTCGGATGCGTTCCTGTGTGTTTAAAAATTCAGTGAAGTTTTATTTACTCAGTAAAACAAATATTAAAACAGCCTCCAGTGTGAACTGTGACATAGTGAGGATTTTATCATTTGCTTGACCTTTAGCACTCATGAGCTTGGCTAGTAATGGGTGACTGAAGGTAGAAGAAGGTCTTTGACTGAAGATATGTTACATTTTACAAGCAGCACAGCTGCAGGTACGCCATGGTAGCATAGACACTTGCTGCAGTGACAGGGTTTTTCTCTTGCTGTAGTAAATCCACCCCCTAAGAATTCTTCTGTTGACCTAAGTGTGGGTATGTCTATACTACAAGCATTTCAGTAGCAGCACTGCCTGAGCTCTGCCACTGTAGTGTAGATACTTACTATAGCAACAAAAGAGGTTTTTCCATCACTGTAACAAATCCACCTCTCCAAGAGACACCACCTAGGTCAATGGAAAAATTCTTTGGTCAGCCTAGCTGCATCTACAGTGGGGGTTAGTTCAACCTAAGTAAGGCCATGTCTATGCTTACAAGCTTACAGCAGTACCAATATAGCTGTGCCGATGTAAGCGCGCATGTGTAGCCATGTTATGCCGATGAGAGCTCTTCCATCGACATAACGCCAGTTCAACGAGAGTGCCTCCCGCCGACATAGCACTGTGCACACGAGCGCTTATTCTGGCAAAATTTATGTCACTCACAGGCGTGTTTTTCACCCCCCTGAGCGACAAAAGTTTTGCCAACATAAGCGCTCGTGTAGACATGGCCTATGTGGCACAGGGGCCTGAGTGTTGTAGCTAGGTCAACCTAAGTTTTAGGTGTAGACCAGGCCAGTATCTATACCACGGCTTAGGTCAGCTTAACTATGTCTTTCGGGGTGTCAGTTTTTCACATCTCTGAGCAATGTAGCTAAGGTGACCTAAGTTTTAGGTGTAGACCAGGCCTGACTCTTCTTGGCCCAGTCCTCTCTTCTCTGGGACCGGTTTTTGCTCTCTCTCACCTTTTTGAAGTGAGGTTTATCATTGCTCTTTCCTGACCCTGTACTTATCTTCCACAATGGGGATGGAAGGGGTGGGAGGCAGTTCTTTGAGGTATTTTTCTTCTCCCGGTTCTGGTCTATTTCCTTTCAATGTCTATGGGCATTTTTATTGTCAGTAGGCTGGACAAACGTTTTTCTGAAGCCTGAGTTGTTTTTTGCGAATACAGACTAACACGGCTGTTACTCTGAAACCTGAGTTGTTCTGAGACTCAAGCTAATGGTGGAAGGAATTCTAAAGAAAGCTAATGAACTCTGCATAACACTTGATTAAGGACTGGCTTTGTGGAGTGTGTGCTGGACTAGAAAAAAGCACAGTAAATAAAAGTCTGCTAACCCACATCATTCAGAGGACCCTGTTAAGGTGTCATCTAGTAGAAGTTCAAACAAGCACAGTTTTGCTTGCCGACTACACAAACTAACATTGCTGTGTAACTCCTGGGTCAATCTTCTGTCTTGATAGGGGTATAACTGAATTGTAAATGTGTTATCTTTACTGTTAGATATGTTTTTGCATTAATTTTGCCAAGGATGAGAGGGGGAAAGAAAGCCATTAATTTTGTATAAGACTTTGTGCTTAGCCCAAAATATGAGTTCACTATCTCTGTATAAAATGCCAGTTCAGTTGACATGTTCCGAAAAGGTAATTCTTAAGCAGAGGAGGTAGGTTGGGAGGGAAGAAGCAGACTCAGAAGAGACCAATGGTTGTGAAATGGATAGAAAAGACAAGAAAAACACCATTAGGACTGGCATCTGACCACTGCTAAACTGAAAGAGACAAGACAGGTGAGGTAATATCTTTTATTGGACCAACTTCTATTGGTGAGAGAGGCAAGCTTTCAGGCTCCACTGAGCTTTTCTTCAGGTCTGGGAAAGGTACTCCGAGTGTCAGAGCTAAATACAAGGTGGAACAGATTGGTAAGCATAAGAAGTTAACACATGTTGCAAGAAACAATTGCCCACTTCATTTTGAATGATTTCTTGCAATATGTGTAACTTTCCTGTACCTGAAGAAGAGCTCTGTGGCGCTTGAAAGCTTGTCTCTTTCACCAGCAGAAGTTGGTCCAATAAAAGATATTTCCTCACCCACCTTGTATCTCTCATCCTGGGACTGATATGGCTATAGCAACACTGCAAACACTATTAAACTCTCATTTTTGGACTCGTGCACTTAAAAGCTCCCCATTCCTTATACAGGATTTTGCCTGAGAACTTGGACAGAGCGTGGTCCGGTGTTTAGTGGGTTTCCTTCCTACGAGTCTGTCCAGTTTGAATTAACATTTGAGTTTATGGTTGTTAAACTGACGGAAGTCTTGGTGCTGTGCAGCTCCTACCTATTGGAAGAGCTGGTTGCCGCTCACATGCATGACTCCTCTTGGTACAGTGGTATCTCCAGAGGCAGCTGCAGGATCCTCCCCACACTTATTTGGAAGTGGTCTGTGTAGTAATTAAGTACATCAGGATAGGTGCAAATTTTATTATTTGTTCAACTCCTTTTTAAAAGCTCTAATTTATAAGTGTTTTAGCAAAGCTGCATTGGCTAATTATTTGTCTTCTCTGTCTTTAGACTTCCGTCTGGCGCTAATCCAACTTCATGTATCTACTGTCAAATCAGATAATCTGAACAAAGCTTGTGGCTTGATAAGAAAAGCAACAGCACAAGGAGCAAAAGTTGTCGCTCTGCCTGTGAGTATTGACCAAATCTCAAACTACTATGCCACACACCCCCACAGACACCTGTTTTTCTTGGGCCAACTGTGCACTAAAAAGTTAGGTCAACTCAACTATGTTGCTATGGGGTGTGAAAAATCCACCCCCTTGAGCAATGTAGTTAAAGTGACCTAATCCCCAGTGTAGACAGAAGAATTCTCCCGTCGTTGTAGCTACAGCCTCTCTGGGAGATGGGTTAACTTCAGCAATAGGAGAACCCCTCCTCTCACTGTAGTGTCCACACTTAAGCACTACAGTGGTGCAGCTGCAGCGGTTTCAGTGTAAACATAGTCTTGAATTGGTCAAGTACTAATTTCTGTCTCATTCCTGGTATGCTAAGGTTCTCTGAAGTAATAGAGTTAAATAATAATGAGCCTTGTTAGGTGTTAATGTCACATGTAAGAAACTTAAGCGTACAACGAGAGTTGGCTGGAACTAGCAGGTCTTCTTTACATGGGGCCAGATTCTGATCTCCATAAAACTAATTTAAATCCAGAGTAACTCCATTAACTTAAATCAATTTACTATGGATTGATAATGGTGTAGTCAAGATGCGAACCTGGACCTTTTTGTTCTTTTCCTTTTCTGTTTTTCTTTTTGTCACTCTGCTGGTGCAGAAGTATTATGTGCTGCAGCAGCAGAGAGAGAAGGTGGTTCTCCAAAAGAAGAATATTTCTACACAGGTGGGAGAACATGAGATTCCCATGATTCTGTGCCACATTCCCTTTTGCTTCTCTCTCCAAATGCACGCTCAGAATGAAGAAGTGAAACCAAATGGATTCAGATCTTTCTTGTGGCTCTTTAGTTGCAGAATTTCCTGGCCCTAACATTCATACAAAAAATGCCTTTTAAAACACGAGAGCTGTGTTTGCTCCCAGGAAGAATACACAGTTAAAAATAGGTTTTGAGACTTGCATCCAGCTAGGGAAATGTGTTCTGATCCAGATATTTCACCTTCCTATGCTTGAACTCTTTTTTTGTGGTTGATCTCCATGGGTGGGGTCATGATTTCCTTAAAACCTACTAATGGCTCCTGATCTTTCTAATTTGTATCCTCTTACCCGTCCTTTTGCCTTCTTTTGTTCCTCATCTAAGGCCATGTCTATATGTACAGCGCTGCAGCGGCTGTTGCCAATGGGAGAGAGCTCTCCCGTCAGCATAAAAAAACCCATCTCTTTGAGTGGCAGAAGCTATGTCAGTAGGAGAAGCTCTCCCATTGTGCACACAAGCGTTTATGTCAGTGTAACTTACGTCGCTTGGGGGGTAGTTTATTCACACCCCTGATCGACATAAGTTATGCAGATATAGGCTGAGTGTGGATGTAGCCTAAGGGACAGCACTTGCAGCAGTGACTTTTCTAATGCATCTATGAGCTTTTTTTCTCTTACAAGGCCTATGTGTTAATCCTCTGCTGGGCAATGAATGCAGGACTCAACAGTACAAAGTTCTTGGCAGAGTGGACTCTAAATCTAACTTTTTAATTGGAAACGTTTAGCTCTCCTATTATTCGGAGAGTAAGTGTTACAGGCAAACTTCCCTGCTCAGTTGTGCCAATGCAGCTCTCACATAACAAATACGACCTTTGATTTTGCTGTACTTGGCCTCCTACACTGAGTTTACCAAATGTTGGCTAGTTTTGCATGTGTGCAAATGCTAAGACCACCAGATTAATTTCTTTAAAGTGAAGGTGTAAGAGAGCATAGCTCACTGTGGGCTTGTCTTCCCGTACGGTGCTATAGCAGTGTAGCTGGACTGGTGCATCTGCACTGCCATAGCACTACGTGAAGATGCTACTACGTCGACGGGAGAACATCTCCTGTTGACAGAGTTAATCCACCTCCCCAAAAGGCAGTAGCTATGTCGATGGGAGAAGCTCTCCTGTTGACATACCACTGTCTATATGGGGGGGGGGGGGGTTAGGTCAGTATAACTATGTCGCTCAAGGGCGTGGATTTTTCACACTCCTGAGCAACGTAGTTCTACGGATATAGATTTGTTGTGTAGACCTGGCCTTGAATTGCTCATCAGTTGTGTCTGACAATTCCAAAGCACTGTACAAATGTAATTGAATTAAGCCTCATGGTACCACTGGGACGTAGGCAAAACATATTATTCCCTCACCATTTTTTTTTTTCTTTCATTTTAAACAGATGGGGAAACTGGTACACAGAGAGCTGAAGGGACTGTCTCAGGTTCACATAGTAATTCTGTGCAGAGCTAGGCCCGGCACTGATGGTTGACTCCCGGTCTCGTGCTTACACAGCAAGACCACTTTCATCAGTCCTACACCCCTTCTAGTGGACTTTAGAGCTGCATTGTGCTGTTTGCCACGTGGCATAAAACGTTTGACTTTGTGGGGAGAGGGCCACTGTTCTCATTACACATTGACTGCTTGTTAACTTTTTTCCCTTTCAGTCCTGAACAGAGAAATGTCGAGGCCAAAATCAAGTAATAATATTTATAAATAAATATTAAAAATTTAAATACAGCTGCAGCTGTTGCAATTTTGTTACAGCATTGAGTTATTGTGTAACCCTATAACTTATCCCATTCTCACCGGTATGTAGCTCCTGTGTTACTCAGCTCCTCATTCTGGTGCTTTGATTCTTGTTGCCCTAGCAGCACTAGTTGGGTTGATAATATCAATATAATAGTAAAGGTCTGCTATCCAAGGAGGAATCAGCAATGAGGGAAAAAAGGGTTGGGTTGTACAACAATTAGTCCAGTGTTGGCTCGTGGGTTATAAGGCTGGAAATGACCACTGTGATAATCTAGTCCAGCGTTTTCCAAATTGGGTATCGGGAGTGGGGCATGGACAGACATTTGAATTGCTCTCCACAGTCTCAGCTTTTTTTTTTTAAAAAGTTAGTCTCTAGAGTCACAGATTGTTAAGGCCAGAAGAGACCACGATGTTCATCTAGTCTGACCACCTACATAGACATAGAACTTCACACAGTGATTCCTGCGTGAAGCTACATAATGTGTGAATTTTCTAGATTGGTGACTTCAGCATTCATATATATGTCACAAAATTTTAGAAGGATATTCCAGTCTTGACTTAAAGACCTCAAGTGCTGGAGAATCTAGCACAATCCTTGGGCAGCTTTCCCAGTGATGAATTTACCCTGAGTGTTAAGAATTTGTACCTTGTTTTCAATTTGAATTTTTCTAGTTTCAACTTCCAGTCATTGGAGGTCAAAGGAGAGCAGAAACTTGGTCCAACTAACCAAAGGGTACATAACTCTCTCTCTGGCTGACAGTAAATCTTAGCGATGGACTAAGGACACAGCTTGCTGGGCAAATAGTATTTAACAGATTGCTTTGGAAGGCCTAGAGGAAGGAAAAACACCTTAGAAAATAACTTGTGTTTGTAAAAGCACTCTTTAGAACGTGGGCTATGCACAGCCACAAATTCCACAATGCTGATGGGGTCTTCAACCATAACTTTTCAAACTAGCCACTGGGGGGACCAGATAGCTTAGAGTAACAGTAACAGGAGATGTTTCAGAGTAACAGCCGTGTTAGTCTGTATTTGCAAAAAGAAAAGGAGTACTTGTGGCACCTTAGAGACTAACCAATTTATTTGAGGATAAGCTTTCGTGAGCTACAGCTCACTTCATCGGATGCATACTGTGGAAAGTTTAGAAGATCTTATATACACACAAAGCATGAAAAAATACCTCCTCCCACCCCACTCTCCTGCTGGTAATAGCTTATCTAAAGTGATCACTCTCCTTACAATGTGTATGATAATCAAGTTGGGCCATTTCCAGCACAAATCCAGGTTTTCTCACCCCCCCCCCCCCCCCCCCACACACACACAAACTCACTCTTCTGCTGGAATAGCTTATCTAAAGTGACCACTCTCCTTACAATGTGTATGATAATCAAGGTGGGCCATTTCCAGCACAAATCCAGGGTTTAACAAGAACGTGGGGGGGGAGGGTTAGGAAAAAACAAGGGGAAATAGGCTGCCTTGCATAATGGCTAAGCCACTCCCAGTCTCTATTCAAGCCTAAGTTAATTGTATCCAATTTGCAAATGAATTCCAATTCAGCAGTTTCTCACTGGAGTCTGGATTTGAAGTTTTTTTGTTGTAAAATAGCGACTTTCATGTCTGTAATCGCGTGACCAGAGAGATTGAAGTGTTCTCCGACTGGTTTATGAATAAAAAGAAAAGGAGTACTTGTGGCACCTTAGAGACTAACCAATTTATTTGAGCATGAACATCTGATGAAGTGAGCTGTAGCTCACGAAAGTTCATGCTCAAATAAATTGGTTAGTCTCTAAGGTGCCACAAGTACTCCTTTTCTTTTTGCGAATACAGACTAACACGGCTGTTCCTCTGAAACCTGGTTTATGAATGTTATAATTCTTGACATCTGATTTGTGTCCATTTACTCTTTTACGTAGAGACTGTCCAGTTTGACCAATGTACATGGCAGAGGGGCATTGCTGGCACATGATGGCATATATCACATTGGTGGATGTGCAGGTGAACGAGCCTCTGATAGTGTGGCTGATGTTATTAGGCCCTGTGATGGTGTCCCCTGAATAGATATGTGGGCACAGTTGGCAACGGGCTTTGTTGCAAGGATAGGTTCCTGGGTTAGTGGTTCTGTTGTGTGGTATGTGGTTGTTGGTGAATATTTGCTTCAGGTTGCGGGGCTGTCTGTAGGCAAGGACTGGCCTGTCTCCCAAGATTTGTGAGAGTGTTGGGTCATCCTTCAGGATAGGTTGTAGATCCTTAATAATGCGTTGGAGGGGTTTTAGTTGGGGGCTGAAGGTGACGGCTAGTGGCGTTCTGTTATTTTCATTGTTAGGCCTGTCGTGTAGTAGGTGACTTCTGGGAACTCTTCTGGCTCTATCAATCTGTTTCTTCACTTCCGCAGGTGGGTATTGTAGTTGTAAGAATGTTTGATAGAGATCTTGTAGGTGTTTGTCTCTGTCTGAGGGGTTGGAGCAAATGCGGTTGTATCGCAGAGCTTGGCTGTAGACGATGGATCGTGTGGTGTGGTCAGGGTGAAAGCTGGAGGCATGTAGGTAGGAATAGCGGTCAGTAGGTTTTCGGTATAGGGTGGTGTTTATGTGACCATCGTTTATTAGCACTGTAGTGTCCAGGAAGTGGATCTCTTGTGTGGACTGGACCAGGCTGAGGTTGATGGTGGGATGGAAATTGTTGAAATCATGGTGGAATTCCTCAAGGGCTTCTTTTCCATGGGTCCAGATGATGAAGATGTCATTGATATAACGCAAGTAGAGTAGGGGCATTAGGGGATGAGAGCTGAGGAAGCGTTGTTCTAAATCAGCCATAAAAATGTTGGCATACTGTGGGGCCATGCGCGTACCCATAGCAGTGCCGCTGATCTGAAGGTATACATTGTCCCCAAATGTAAAATAGTTATGGGTAAGGACAAAGTCACAAAGTTCAGCCACCAGGTTAGCCATGACATTATCGGGGATAGTGTTCTTGACGACTTGTAGTCCATCTTTGTGTGGAATGTTGGTGTAGAGGGCTTCCACATCCATAGTGGCCAGGATGGTGTTATCAGGAAGATCACCGATGGATTGTAGTTTCCTCAGGAAGTCAGTGGTGTCTCGAAGGTAGCTGGGAGTGCTGGTAGCGTAGGGCATTTCAACTCAAGGTTGCTGATTCAAATTGTTACCAGATTGGGAAATATGCAGAAATTGTTACCATCTGTTTGGCCTTTGTTAAATGAGCTAGTGGTATCTCTTCAGTTTCCAGTGCAAAATTGTTCACATTAAACGACTATCAGGGTTGGTGCCAATTGTTAATCTTCCTCTGGCCTGTATATTAGCTTATGAGTAACCTCATAGGCCCTCAGATATTATGTTGATGAGGGCCATTTAAGTACCTAGATAGAGAGGTTTCAAAGGCCACACCTTCCAGTAGTGCTTTCAGATTTTAATTTTGTTTCTTTGTTTTCCACTTCTAGGAATGTTTTAACTCTCCCTATAGTACTAAATATTTTCCTGAATATGCAGAGAAAATCCCTGGTGAATCCACGCAGAAGCTCTCAGAAGTTGCAAAAGAGTGTGGCATCTATCTCATTGGAGGTAGCTTTTTTTCTTAGTGTTTGTCTTCTGAGTTTAAATTCAGGTCTTAGTTTGGGAGCAGCACAAGCATTGCTTGCTTATTTGTGTAGCTGGATTGTCACTATATGTAATTGTTGGAAATCTGTCTTCTCTTCCTAATAAAGGATCCATTCCAGAGGAGGATGCTGGGAAGTTGTATAACACCTGTACTGTTTTTGGACCTGATGGTGCTATGTTGGCTAAGCACAGAAAGGTAAGAGAAGATAGAAGCGTTTTGTTATCAGTGGGTTTTTCTTGATTTGGCTGTGGCTGATATTTGGCTGTGTTGTGTAGTAGTGATAGCTGCTTTGTTTTTAAGTCTACATCTAGGTTTCTAAAAGGAAGCCAACATCCACAGACTTCACAAATGAATATGAAGAACAAAAGAGGTAGTAGTTATGAGAATACATTGTGCTATCATTTCATTATTATATATATGTAGTTTTCATCTGAGGATCTAAAAGAACTTTAAAAGGGGGGGGGTTAATATATTTGTTTTACAGATGAGGTAGGTGAGGGGCAGAAAGGTTAATTAGCTTGCCCAGTGTGACATGGCAAATCAGTGTTAGAACTAGAGTTCACACTGAAGTCAATGGCAAACTTTCCATTGATTTCAATGGGGGTCAGGATTTTACTCTGTCTCCTGCCTCTCATTCCATTGCTCTGTCTGTCTACAAACCCATGCTGTCACTATTTTTGCTATTACTATAACTGTTTGTTGTAAATAGATTTTTGGATTAATTTAGCCTTTTTTGTGTTCATAGAAGTTTGGATTTTTATGTTCTTATTCACTATTTGGTGAACAATTACAAAGAGTTTGTCAACAAATTTAATCTGCTGGGTTGTTCGCAAGCTGTTCACTTCCGCTCTCTGCTGTCTATGGTGAGCAATAGGTCACCCAAGTCATACTTGTGTATTGTCTGCTCCCTGATTGGATGTTAGAAACTTTCTATACAGGACAATAGCAAATAATAGATCCCCTTGTTTGCACACAGATACCCTGGCTCCCATGAGAATACAAGTGTTTGTCTGAAGAACACCCATTGACCAAAAACTTGTGTGAAGAATATCGCTTTCTTATGAATAGTGAATAACAAGAGGCGCACAAACATTGTCACATTGAACAGTAATTCAGAACTTGATTGAATTAGGCACTCTTCAGCTAGGTCTAGTATTCAGCCACTCACCTATTCTGTTGCCCAATACAACATAACTGCTGCACTTGGGCTACCCTGTTAGATGATGTCACTTTAAAGTTATTTTCTTTTCTTCATTATTTTTTTTTGTAGGTGTTGGGAATGTTTGTGTAGTTGGGTTTGTACTGGGAGTTGAAGCTTGTACTGGGCCATTATTTTTTTATTGTTTAATACCTGTGTAGCATAGCACCAAGAGGCCCCCCTTTTGCTAGGTAGAGGCAGAGCTGGTCTAAGATTTTTGGGGCAAAAGCCCCAGTCCTGCAATCACTTGTGCATGTGACTAGTCAGAATGAGTTTGATGGAACTTCTTGACTGTGGAAAGTTACTTGCCTGGGTAAGTTTTGCAGGATCGGGGTTAAGACCATGTTATCATAATTATCCTTCTCTTTGAACCAAGGTCTCAGATTTTACTTACAACTTCAATGTCAGGGTAATTTAAGTGTCTTTTAATATGTACATATCCCTTTGGAAGGTAGCTCATCTAATCTAGTCTAGTATAAATGAGTGAGGACAGAAACTAATAAGTATAGTTAAATAGAGGAACAGGTTGCCTATGGAGGTTATGGAATCCCCATCTTTGAAGATTTTTAAGAATAAGTTAGACAAACACTTGTTGGGGATGGCTAGGTCAGCAGTTCTCAAACTGGGCTGGGACCCCAAAGTGGGTCATGACCCCCTTTGAATGGGGTCGCCAGGACTGGCTTGGACTTGCTGAGGCCCGGGGCTGAAGCCGGAGCCCCACTGCCCAGGGCCGAAACCAAAGCCTGAGGACCTCAGCCCTGGGTGGCGGGGCTAAGGTTGCAGGCCCCCTGCCTGGAGCTGAAGCCCTTGAACTTCAGCTTTGGCCCCCCTGCCTGGAGCAGTGAGGCTCAGGCTTTGCTCCCCTCTCAGAGCAATGGGGCTCGGGTGGACTCAGGCTTCAGTCCCCCCTCCGGGGTTCGTGTAGTAATTTTGTTGTCAGAAAGGGGTCACGGTGCAATGAAGTTTGAGAACCCCTAGCCTAGGTATACTTAATCTGGCCTCAGCATGGAGGGATGGACTAGTCGTCCCTTCTAGCCCTACATTTCTATGATGAACAGAGTAGATAAAATCCTACTGCTATTTCTGAATGACTCTTTTCATGAAGAAATTAGAGAGCCCCAACAGGAGTTGTTTATTATTTGTTATGTCTTTAGCTAGTTTTACATAGTTTCTATTACTGCATCATACCAAAGACTTCATTTTATCTAGTAAGCAGTATTAAAAACTGGCATATGGATTAACTGGTGCACATTGTTTAAAAGGCATAGACGTTTTTTCAAATAGTTTAGGAAATGTATACACAAATCCAGGACAGGCTTTTGCGCTAAAAAATCTTGCCACAGTCCCAAAATACTAATTCAATCTAAAAGAATATTTGATTGTGATTCTGATAAGGCACTGGTCTAGGATAATAAAATAGGCTAGAGCCGTGGTTCTCAACAAGGGGTATGTGTATCCTTGGGGTTATGCAAAGGTCTTTCGGGGGTACACTCATCTAGATATTTGCCTAGTTTTACAACAGGCTACATAAAAAGAATTAGCAAAGTCAGTACAAACTACAGTTTCATACAATGACTTGTTTGTACCGTTCTATATACCGTACACTGAAATGTAAGTACAATATTTACATTCCAATTGGTTTATTTTATAATTATATGGTAAAATGAGAAAGTAAGCAATTTTTTTGTAGTAGTGTGCTGTGACACTTGTATTTTTATGTCTGATTTTGTAAGCAAGTAGATTTTAAGGGAGGTGAAGCTTGGGGGTACACAAGACAAATCAGACTCCTGAAAGGGGTACAGTCTGGAAAGGTTGAGAGCCACTGGGCTAGAGGATCCATAAGTTTAACATAGGCTCATACACAGTAGGGAGAAATCCTTGTTAATATCATTGTGCTGAATAATTTGTAAGGAGTGTCTTGGGTTATTTTTGAAACAGATTCATTTATTTGACATTAACGTTCCTGGGAAAATCCGGTTCCAGGAGTCAGAAACTCTGAGCCCAGGGGACAGTTTCTCTGTGTTTGATACTCGTGAGTATAAGAGAATCAGTTATCTTTCTAATGGGCCCTAATAAAATGACTGCAACCACCATCTTGACATTGTTTTACCGTAGCAGTAGTATTTATGTCAAAGTGTGCTACGCATTTGACAAACAGAGGAAGATAGAGAGTGCATTTTTCAAAAGCATCAAAGTCCTGTTATCAAATTAAGGAGCCTATCTCATTGGGAGTCAATGGGACTTAGGCTCCTAAATCTCCCAGATACTTATTGAAAAGTTTACCCATAGTCAAATCTATGATTTAAAAAGACAAAGACAGAGGGTGGTGGAAAGAGCTGCAACATCCAAACAAAATGATCTGAGCAGCGATAGACATGTATCATGTTGGTTCCATTCATTAAAGAAGATGGTTGTAATATTGTGTAACTAGAAGTCTTATACTTTAGTTGAACAAAAGGGTGAATTCTGTTTTTGTAAGGCCTCGTTTGGAGTGTTACACATGCCATGATCTGTATTTATAAATACAGTGGTATCTCACAGGAGTGATGTTGGTTTGTGGAGCCCTGGCTTTGCTCTTGTGGTTTGGAGTTCTGGTTCCATAATTCCCAGTTGCCTGTTCACAGATGGTGCCTAGACTACTGTAAGATTTCCTCTCCAATTGGAATGGAAAGAATGAGAAAAGCAATTACTGAAGCAGCTTTTCTGTGAGTGCTCAGTATTTCCATAGCACATACTGGCAGTTTACAAAATTAGTTTGAACAATGGAATCATTTTATTTAGGTCGTTTATATGGGCCTCATTACACCCAAAAGTTGTCTTTGAAAAAAATAAACAAAGTGTTGGACTAGAGCTGACAAATTATATCCTGTGAGGATGGCATGGTAGTGGAGATTTCAAATTTTCAGCTAACATAGCAGAAAGTCCCATGTGATTTGTTTTATATCCACTCCCAAGATGACTTGCTGCCTTAGGTGATGCTTGCACTTGCTATAATCCCCACCAAAATTACCCTGTCCCATTAACTGAGCTCTCTCCAAATTATCAAATATCCCTTGGGCTGTGGTCATCTTCTTGCAACACAATGGGTTGTGTATGGGAGAAATCTCTTAGCAACAACTTTGTTGTTGTTTCAGTGCATGTAGTTTGTGTTTTTTCTTTCCCATCTGTGTGCGTCATTGAGAAGTTGATCAATAATTTTTGAGACGATACCTATAAAACCAGACAGAGACATAACATGACAAGCTTTTAGTGGATATAGCTGCTTGATAAGGCAGATGTGACAGGGACTTCTTTCTATTCCCTAAAATAACTAACAATATCCACATTTTAAAAAAGAAAATTCTCAGACTGGTGCACTTTCTTGGGTAACACTTGCAGAAATTCACTGCAGGTACAGTGGTTGCAGATAAGAAAACACATGTCTAAAATCAGTGCACGTTTTTTGTGGTGGAAAGTATTGTACAAGAGCTTTCGTGATTGATGGATGGAGACCTGAGATTCCCTTCCTGCATTCAGCATGACAGTGACTTCTGTTTTGTGTCTCTTCTGTTTTGGGAACAGCATACTGTAAAGTGGGACTGGGGATCTGCTATGACATCCGATTTGCTGAGCTTGCTCAGATCTACGCACAGAAAGGTGAGGAAGTGTTGCTGAGTAAACTTGCCCAGATTTTGTACAGCAGGGGCTTGCCATTAATTGAGAGGTGACCCATCCATACAGAACTGTTTCAGAAAAAGTGTTTCTTGCTGTTCAATACACAGCTGCATACATAGGGTCAGACCCCATGATTATCCACAAACTGCATAGATAGCATCAGGAATAGCGCTCATGAGCTTCTGGTCCAAAAATACAGCTATCTGCTTGGCTAGTCAAAGGAGCAGTGTCTCTCATTGAGACAGTAGGGAGGCTCTGGTCCTACATGAATACATCAGAATATCAAAGATTGATGCATGCACCTATTCCTGTGAGCCAGTGCACAAAAGTATTCCCTGTGGTTTACTTGGTATAAGTGCATATACATACCCCTTTGTGGAGGTTCTGCATATTCTAACCTGTTAGGGATACTGATGTCTTTAAGTAAATACATTCAAAGGAACTTCCTCTCCTTTCCTCTTCTCTCCCAGCCCAGCCACACTGTTTTTCCCCCCCGGCTATGTGCCAGGGTTGATTCCCAGGCACTCAGCTACTGGGGAGGATGGAAAGTTCCTGGCTTAGGGGAAGCAGGACAAATCAGGACTCTTAGGAGGAATTGGTCCTGCTTTACCTCCCCGCATGCTGCAAACTACCCTCCAAAAGCCAGATTTGGGGGAGGGGAGTGAAAGGACTGCATGACTCATGACATAAAAGGGATGATGCACATCTTCATATAATGGTCTCTCTTCCCTTTCTTGCATGCTTTGATGAGCAGTGAAATAGTTAATAATGTTGCCATTTTAAAATGTTAGTACTGGGTTTCAGAATCATTGACCCATTGAGATAAATCAGGCAGTTCATGTCTCTGGGCTGTCACTTTAGGCTGTCTGCAGAGTCCAAGCATCTGATATTTGCTGCACAATATGAAGGTTTTCTTCACAACCATAAGGAGAAGAGACTTTCTCCTCTTTAAGGGAGAACTTAGATTCTGGAGAACAAGATGGCAGCTGCAACAGAAAGATACCAGTTCACTGAGTCACAGTGAACTGGACCAATCCTCCCTGGCCTGGCTTTTGAAAGGGATGTGGAGGAAACAGGTCACATGAAGAGGTGAGGATAAAGAGGAATAGTCCTGGATCTTGAGGTTGCCAGGGTGGGGAGGCACTGAGTTTAGCTGAGAGGATCCTGTACAGGAAATCTGAAGAGGACAATATTCTATCCTTGGAGGAAGGCACATCTGTTATAATATCTGGGGAGTGCTCCCAGAGGATGATAGGCAGCAAGTCTGCTGCCAGGCTGCTGTGAAGAGTCAATACCCCCTACACTTCCCAACTGTGTCATGGCTTTTAGCTGACTTGTCCTGTCCTTAATTACATCCATGCAACTTACAAACTTTAGACAATGTAGAAGTTAAAGGCCAGTGACCTACAAAGCATTTTAAAAATGAGAAAATATATCACTCCACGGTGACTGCAGCTGATGGAAGAACGTTGGGCCTTGTGCTACATACAGGAGAGAACTGGGTTTGTTAACAAGTCATGACAGCTGGGATCAGCCCTAGTAGTCCACATTTCTCTAGTGCCTTCCCTCTGAGGGTCTCAAAATACTTTCAAAATATTGATTTGATTTAGCCTCACAGCACACCTGAGAAGATGTATTGCCTACAGATGGGTTAACCAAGGCACGCAGACATTAACTTACTTGCCCAAGACCACACAGGAAGCCTTTAGCTAAGCGAGGACTAAAGCCCTGATTGCCTGTTGCTCAGACCATCCATCCCTGCCTATTACTTGGCAATAAATATAGCACTGAGCAGCATTGGTTTTGAGTGTCTAAACACCAGCTGCCCTCTTTTATTGGAAGGTGGGCCAAGTTTTAATAGCTAAGTACAAGTCAGATTCGTGGTGATCGAAGTGGTCAGGTAGCCTGTGCTGGCTGACTCCTAAAGCCACTACGCTCTTTGACACAACTTACCTGATTGACTGTGCATATTTCAGTGGTGCAGGGAAACTGCAGCTCTGAACTGCGATAACCATGCTTCCCCCATGACCATTCTTTTGTTATCTTATAATACCGAGGCATTCTTTTTTAACCAAGGTTGCCAGCTGCTAGTGTATCCGGGGGCTTTTAATATGACAACTGGACCAGCCCACTGGGAACTGCTGCAAAGAGGACGGTAAGAACTAAATAAAAGCCTTTCCCTCCTCTTCCTGAAAGGGATTGTTGAACTGACTCAGAATTTTGTTTTTAAACTGTATTATTTAATAAACAACTGGGCTTTGGTGTCACATGATTCTTTCTATCCTAACTCCCTTATGTCTGATAGGCCATACACAGCACCAAATCATTCCCACCATCAGTAGGAAAACTCTAATACTTCAGTCGTGATATAAACACCTTTGGGCCAATCTCTCAGATACCAAGCTCTGAGAAAGCACTTTTCATCTGTACACCTCCGAGTGCTTTACACAGAGAGGTAACCCAGATGGGGAAGCTTGAGGCACTGAGAGGGAGAAAGGGGTTAATTCTAAGAGTTGCTTGCTGTGATTTTTCCCAAGATCAAGCTGAGTCAGTGAAAGTCAGGAACAGAACCCATATCTCCTGAATCCCAGCACCGCTTAGTCACTTAGTTGGCATGTTGGCTCCTGTGTTACTGTCTAGATCCTGAAATGTAGGCAGTGGTTGGGATTCAGACTGAGTGTGATTCAACCAGCCATCCCTATTGAGCAAAGGACTTAAACTGGCATTAATGGGAGTTTAAATGCTTTGTGCCATTCAATCTGGTCCACTTGGCGTATAGAGATTTCTCCCATCCTGAGTCTCTGGATTTTTGCCTTGCTGACCTTCATGTTATTTATGGTTTTGGCTATTTTGTATTTCCTAAAATGCAGCAAGATGGAAAATCCACATCACCTCTTTGGCATAATTTTTCCTTCCCTTCTGTTTGTTTTTTTCAAATGCAGCGAATCTGTGGTGTACAAAGATGTGGACAGTAATTTTTTCTTGTCCTTCTTTGAATGCAGAGCGGTTGATAACCAAGTCTACGTGGCTACTGCATCTCCTGCTAGGGATGAGAAAGCATCTTACGTTGCCTGGGGACACAGCACTGTAGTAAACCCATGGTAAATGGAGAAGAATAACTGAATTTTTCTGCTAACCAAACTTTAAGGGATACTGTCAAACTTCTGTCTGAAAATGTTTCTACCTACTCTTAAAAGTATCATCTAAGATTCCTTTAACTGAAAATGACACACAGTTCTCTACTCTATTTTTACCATTAACTTTATGCATCTGACAGCACCTTATGTATAGCCACTTTGCTCTTTGTGGGGGTTTTTCACATAGCAAAAAGGAACGGAGAAACTTAGATAAAATGTGGTTGTAAAAAGACAGAAATTGTCTGGAGAATTCAGAGGTAGGGATTAGGCACCTGGGATTACTTCACCGATAAAAAAACATAGGCTGGATTTCAAGTTGTTCTTGTGTCCATCTAAGGAAATCTGTCATTAGTTTAGTTTAGTTCCTTAAGCTAATACCCAGCGGAATTGTGAAATAGCCATTAAAAGCAGGATAGTAAGAATATTTAACTTCCTGTGAGCTTGTGCAGCCTTTTTCTAACTAACTGACAGCCAAGTTATATTTTTCCTTTAAGTATAACAAAAAGACTACAAAAATAAAATTACTGCTCAGTAGAAATATTTTAAAGCTAAAGGGAAGCAAACCTTTTACCGCAATGTGATCATGGCTGCTTAAACCAAACAAACTGGGTTTGGGTGAGTGATCAATATCCAATAACAAATAGGTTTAAAGTTTTCCTCTGAATATAACTGGAGCTGCAGTTGGCCCTTTGAAAGCTTTTTACCTGGATTAAAAACTAATCTCAGTGTATCAAACTCTGCATCATCCACTCTCTAACTAGCTTGATATTTTAAATTTTATTTACAGAGAAGAGAGAAAGATCCAGTTAAAAAACAATTGAGTATATACCATAGTCTTGGGAAGGATAAAACAATATATTCAAGTTGATTATCTCATCACATTCCACAAGAAATCTACTCATTTACGTGACACTTACGATAATTATCTGTATAAGAGAGAATATTAAAAACCAAACCACCATTCAGAAAAGTCGGACTGTGTGCAGAGTATTATGTGGTTAATTCCAAAGCTGAATCACCTTGGGAGCTGTCTACTAGAAACTCCTTAACTAGAGCTTTACAAGGCTTTGGCATCATAATCAAAGAATAAAATGAACTTGATCTTTGAGACAGAATTAGCAGGGTGTAGACCAGATAGCTCAGAGTGTATTCCATAAGCAGCAGTTATTTTCATCGACGAGCCTGAGTAGCTTTGGGTAAAATCAGGAAAAATATGTAACCAAGAATCTTTCTAGGCAATAATTACCATTTTTCTTCCAAATAATTAACTCCATTCATGTTACTCATCAGCTAGAAAACTGCATTCTAAGTTCTCGTGTAAAGCTGAAACCTGTTTATCTGATTGTTGGTGCCTCAGCCCTTTCACTCAGCACATAGTAATGCCTTTGCAGCTAACAGCAGAGATGGTGAAAAAGAAGTGTCTAGGATCAGTAATGTTTGTTTGTTAATCCGGACTTTAAAATATGCCTGCCTGGCTCCTTGCAATAACACACTAGTAGAATCTGAGATGGGAAGGACTTTTAGCTAGTCAACCCCCAGCATGAACAGTAGTGCTGGAGTATCAGGGGGCAGCCGTGTTAGTCTGTAGCCACAAAAACAGCGAGGAGTCCGGTGGCACCTTAAAGACTAACAAATTTATTTGAGCATAAGCTTTCATGGGTAAAAACCTCACTTCTTCAGATGCCAGTATTGCTGGAGAATATCTGATGCTAAACTGATCTTACAGATAAACTTTGCCTGTGTAGCAAAGACCATTTTTTTCTTCATATAAAGTACTTTTAGATATATAGATTCAATGCTGGTTTGTCTACAGAGGATCCCTTCTTAACAAGAGCTATGTACAGCCTTATTCTACTAGAGAACTTGAACCTTTGAAATGTGAACTCTTTTTTACTTCAGATTGAAGTGGTGCAATGCATTCATGCTAGCCATCCTGTTTTGGTGCTCGCACACATCCATCCACTTGACTCTGTTGCAATGGTATGTTCTTCTAAGTACCTATCCTGCAGCTCCTTAAAGTGGTGGATTGTGGGAGATTGCTTAAGGTCTTGTGCCGTGTCCAGGAGGCTTCTGGGAGTGGGAGATCAAAAACCTGCTGTCTGCTCTGACACTGTAGTGGTGCAGAATGACATAGTGAGGAATACAGGAGTGCTGAGACCTACTCAGGGCAAGTGTTAATCATCAAAGTGCGGATACAATTATGGAGGGGAATCTAATGAGGGGCAGTCTTCATAAAGCACTGCAACTCCCGAATGACTTGCAATGTGTGCATTATGCTTGCTGATTTTTAAAAAAAATCTTCTGATCCAATTTCTCAGTCTTATTACTTAGATTCATTTTACATGTTTCTCAGTTAAAACCAAGTGCCCGTGGTATGCTCGAATCTGAAAGTGCTGTACAGTAGGGGAAACATTCTACTTTTCAGGCTCCCTCAGTCCCAAGAGAACTTGTGGGTGTGACCATGACCATGTGCTTAGATTAACTCTTAGATTGTATACTGGGGGGGCAGGGACCATCTTTTTGTTCTGTGTTTGTACAACACTCAGCACAATGGGGCCCGGGGCCCCGACAGGCTCCTAGGTGTTCCTGCAGTACAAATACTAAATAAATATTGTTTCATTTTGCAGGGGGGAAGTCATAGCCAAAGCTGGCACTGAGGAAACTGTTATCTACACAGATATAGGTAAGCCACTGGGTTTTTTTTGTTCTTTCTTCCCCACCAAAAAAAGAGGAAAAGAGAAACTGGAGTCAGTGAGGCTAAACCACAGGTCCCCAAACTGTGGGGTGCGCCCCCCTAGGGGGCACTGAGGGGGCCCAGGCCAGCCGCCATGGGGGGCAGGAAGTGCCACCCAGCTCAGCTCCTGGCTCCAGCTGCTGACCCTGCACCCAGGATCCCAGCTGCCAGCCCCAGCCTCAGCCCCCTTACCCCTGTCTGCGTCCCCCCCTCCAAGAGCTGTGGCCCCACAGAATGTGGGGCGGGGAGGGTGAACATGGGGGGACAGGAAGTAAGAAGTTTGGGGACAACTGGGCTAAGCAGACCAAAACCCTCTATAAGCTGGGCATCTTTGGGCTCATCTGACCCTATGCATTTAGATGTGGTATGTTCAAGTTTTATTTTCCTGTTTCTAAAGCCTTTCTGGTGAAAGGTGAGAGCCTCGTGGCCGGCCCTCAGCTTCAGAAACTGAAGGCTTCTAGTCATTCACAGAAACTGGTATAACACGGGTAGCAGCAATGCCAGACACTGCCAATCTGCCTCAACACCGACCTGGAAGGCTCTCCTCTAGGGGCAGAGGGAGCTCAGTCTCCATGAGCCATTCAGTCCTTAGCCTCTCTGCCAAGACCACTATATATGGTGCCTAGCCTTATCTGTGCCTTCCGGGGAACAGCTCCGCAACTCGACAGGCAATACAAGCGCTCCCCACTAGGCCTAAGTAGGCCCAGCTATCTCTCTACGAGTTTGGGATAGGCACCCTCCGACTGGCACCCTAGAGTGTCCAGCCCTATCCCCCTGGACACTCGCAGTATTCAGCTTCGCTACTTCCAAAGAAGCAGTGCACCCCAACTTATCAGTTACGCCTCCGATCACTGCTCTGCTTAACACACAGCACTTATGTTTGTAGTGAAAACAAGTAAAAGTTTATTTAATGAAGTATAGTGTGCGAGCACAGCAATTGAAGTGGCAGCAGGTTAGAAGTATTGGAAACAAATGGCTACATAGAAAATCATAACACAGATTCTAGAACCTAGACTTACTTAACTGGAGACTTTCCTGTCTTCGAGAGAGCAAAGCTCACGCAAAGTCCTTCCAGCATTTTACAGCCTGGGTTGGTTGTGATCTTCCATTCGTGATACAAATCACGCTGCCCGTTTGCCGCCTCGGTGAAGGATCCAGCATGTCTGTTTGCACCCCAGACATATCAGAACAAGCCTTACTGGTAAACCGGATCTCCCCTTTTCCCCCCAACTTATTTTGTAAATTTCCTCCCTTGAAGATTTCACAATCTCTTGATCAGCATTTGGCTCAGTATGCAAATAGGCATCCAGTGTGAGACATATGGTGCTCAATACATACGTGACCAGCGAGAGGGACAAGCATATTACCCCCTGCTTTAAAGAAACCTGTCCTAGACGTGTCACCACCTGGGTACCTGCCTTCCAAACATAATTTTTAATATAGACACAACTCCTTAAGTATTATCTGTCCATGCCTTTTGCAGTGATTATGATGGCTACTGGCTCTGAATGGAAACCCCACAGGCCATCCTTTAGTGAATTATTATGCATATATCTGACCCCAGGGATCCCTGTGAAACTCTCTGCACCATGCCCTCTGCCAGTTGGCACCAAGAGATTTTTGGGTCACAGCGTCAGTTGTGATGATGGTTTTTGTGATCTAGCCATTGACCATCCACAAAAATGCACAGGCCCAGATTGGTCAAACCCATTCAGACAAGTTCCTGTTCACCTGACTTGTACAAGTCAGATAATGTACATATCTCCTGCCTTGCATAAGCATCAGGCTCTGTGTTTATGCACGCAAGTCAGGTGTACACAAATGCGTGCAGGTTTGAAAATCTCACTAATCCTTTTTCAGTTCCTCCAGCTCTGGACAGTCCCTTTCTCATGGATGTTTGTGTACAATGTGGTGCACGTGCTTTTTTCCAAGTATCAGTTGGAGTTTGTCTGAACAGTTTAACTTTTCACTTTTTACAGACCTGAAGAAGCTTGCAGAAATCCGCCAGCAAATCCCCCTTCATACTCAAAAGCGCTCAGATCTTTACAGCGTAGAGGCAAAGAGAGAGTGAGGCTTCATGCATACGGCTTCATGCATACAGCTCCATGCTCTTCAAAACTCAGCTCGAGAGCAGCTCCTTTGACATTTGCTTGTATCTTCAGACGGAACAAGACCGTAAAATAATCATTTTCACAAACTACAACTGACCTTGCATCCAATACCATACTGTTAAGCAAAAAAGCACATGCTAGTCTAATTCTGAAATGAACCCTAAGTGAAGCTGAATAGAGGTGGCTTGTGAGCTGGCTTTTCTCTCCTTTCATACTTTAGCTATTTCCTGGTACTTTACAAAGCCATGAGTTACTGCTGGGGCAGAGACTGGTGACAGACTAGGCTCCCAACTCAGCGATAGCTTTGCATGCAGCTTTTGAACACTGAACCTTGTCTAGCTGAGGAGGAATGCTGGCCAGGACCCTGCACTTTCTGAAAGTGCCATGACGCTTTTAGTTTCTACCCAAACGATTATTGAAGGTTTAGTATCTCAACTGTATTGGATAGGAGTGAGTCCTGCCATGAGGCTTGAACCCACTGCTTTGTGGTCCAGAGGTATGGCTAACACCGCCCCACTGACACATACTGAAGTTATATTTTCTGTATGCAATGATGTAAAATCAAAGGTGTTTCTTCTGTGCCTGTCACTGTCGTATCTAGGCATCAGATTAATAACTGACTTTTCTTCTCCTTCCTTTCTGCCCTGTGCATCCCAGCCCGTGCATAGAGGATCCCTTCCTACTACCATTTGCTGCTCCTTGAAGTTCTCTAGCACTTGCCTCTGTCTTCCTGCCTCAGGTTCTCTCTGGAGCCTATTGCTGTCAGCCCTTAGCTGGTTGCAGAGCGGGAGGGAGCTGCCATTTTATGCAGGATCCTTGCAACTGTGTTCAGCATCAGTATCTACCAAGTTAATTTTTGCACTGTTCTTTATATTAAACACACTATTATTCTAGGCTGGTGCTTGTGTTTAATGCAACAAGAGGAGCTGGCATGGATTCTTCTGCAACCTGGTGGTGGTAGTACAGCATCCTTTTGACAGGCTATAATAAACTCCAGTTAAACAAGATTGTGACTTTAGATGGCTCCTGGAATATTTTACCACCTTGCAATGTACAATAAAGCACTGATCAGTAGCCCTAATAGAGGGTGTGATCCTGCACCCCTCTGGGTGTGGAATTCCCTCTCATGGGGGAAGGGATTGCATGATTGGGCTTGTTTTAAATTGCAGATAATTAAAGCAAAACTAATATGTAAACAAGTGTCAGGGTAGCAATTTTGGTAAATAGGGTTAGTGGAAAATCTGAATAACTCCCCTCAAGAATGTGGGACACCCAGGATGAGAGAGGAGGTCATCATGCCGCCTCCTCTCCCCCCCTCATCATATTTGCTTTGGTCTCCCTGACTTCTGGAGTTCTCTGGACAATCTAGACCCATTCCCTTGTCACTTTAATAGCTACTTCTCAAGAGTTTGTAAGCAAGTGCCCAAACTCTTTTATGTAAACGTTTTTAAAATGTAGTAGATCAGTAGTTTGTCACCATTAGCTCATCTAATAACAAGCTACTACTCCTCTTCACTGCTGTAAGCAATTGACTCACTCTTAGCCTTTACACAAGTCATTCAATTTAATTTCTAATTGAGTCTGAGTTAGTTTTGTAACTAAAGCCAGACTCCAGTAATGTAAACATACTAAAAATGAGGGGCCAAATTCTGCCCTGTGACACCAAGGAACAGCTAGAATATCTGCAATGGATTAATTCCAGATTTAGAGTAGTGCAACAAAGGTTTTAGGCTATTATGTCTTGTATAACTTCCACTTAGCAGGTAAGTAATTTTCCACCAAAACATGCTAATGATGGTGCAATTCCTGGCTTTGGCAGCTGGTGGTGCAAGTTTAGTGATGTGGAATTCCTTTTCTTTGTGTGGCAGAACTCAATGTGCACAGACTTTGACATACAGTACTACCTAAAGTGGCTTTTTTCTAATGGTTAATTATGGCTCCTGCTATTTTGAACTGAATAATTTGCAAGCAGAAGAGGTGGTTAGAAAGGTACCTTTTGCTGAGGAGCTTTTGGAAACAGGCCTATTGCTGGAATTTGATTTCTAAAGCAGAAAAAACAATTACTATTCTCGAGCAACATGTGCCTATGCCAGAGAGACACTGAGCAACTGAAAACAACTGAACAGGTGATTGCTGTACTAGCCAGCTGGGAAGAGATGCGGCCTGTCAGCTGCAGAGGATCCTTCATTTCTTCACTGTTCCTCTCACTGAAATGAGTGACAAATTTCAGTAACATGCTTCATCATGACAAACTGGCAGTTTAAGTAGCTAAAATACCTTTTCAACAAAACAATGTCTTTTGTGCTACCAACTCTGAGCATAAGAGACATTATTTGCCAATTTCCAGGGTTTACAGTAGCCACTCTCTCGCTCTCTCAAAAAAAGCACCATAACAGTGGCTGCACGTCACAAGGCCTTTCTAATAGCAATGACAGCAGCTTGCTTCTCAAATACAAAAATAGTTTCAGCACCTTGTTTTCATTAAGTATACACACTACATAAGAATTCCCCAAAACAGACTCTAAGATGAAATGAAGATTTATTAGTTGAAAAATATAAGATTTAGCAAACAATGTACCATTTTGAGTCTAGTTTAATATACATTTCTGCAAGGAGCAACGCCCTGAGCCTTTCCTGTCTTAGAGTGCTGTCTGCCACCCTCAGCATGATGATAACCCAGGTCAGCATATAGGACTTATAAACACACCAGCTATTTGTTTCATTTTTAAACTACAGTGTCTGACAGTAAGAAGGATAAGGTTTTGGGGGTTTTTTTTGCTTCCCATGCAGCAGAATGTAAACTCAAGATTATTTTTCACCTTTAGAGGATTAAAAGAAGCAGGATTCTACATTGCCTAATTCTTAGTTTTGCAAATGTAAAGTGCAATCTACATCTGGTGGTAGGATAAAGAGAAAATTCACAGAGAGGCAGGGACAATTTTCCTAGAGAGCCAAACTGGAATAACAGTTCTCAGTTTGATAGAGGTCACAAAATGATCATAGCTGAGGCTCAAATATAGCAGTTTTGAGCAGGTGGCAACCTTCTTCCAGCAGCTCTTGCTGTGGCTTATTGCAGCCACTTCAAAAGGATATCGGGGGGGGGTTGGATATTTCTGGTTTTTCACACAATCAAAAAAAAAAAAAAAAAGCCTTCCCATACCAGTCTTATGTTATTTAAGAGTTAAGCAGTCACTAATACTTTCTGTGCTGATGAAAGACATACTTTATTAAGGCGCTGTATTATATACATATGCATCAGAATTCTATAAATATAGAAAACCATCAGCACTGCACCAGGATCAGCATATTCCCCCAAGTTCAGCTGCCAGGAAAAAGTAGTTTTAGGAATGACAAAAAACAGGGCAATATCTTGCATTTAGACAGAAGGCAGGAAAGCTGGTATGAGCACTGTTTGGAGGTCTGGGCAGAGCTATCCCTAGCAATTCAGCTGCTCTCATGCACCAGTCCAACAGAATATGTAGGCCAGTTGTTGAATAGTAACAATTTAGTTTTGGAAGCCTGCCTTAGTTCTTCACCTTTGAAACCTGGGTTCAAATCCTGCTAATTTAAGTCACAAATGAAGCATGATCTCTTGCTAACCTCCATTTATGCACCTTGTGAACTATTTATTTGGCATGCTTCTCTAAGACTCTTTGCACAAGAACTAGAATAGCAGGGATTTTACAAGATCAGGATTAAGCTACATGGCAGAAACACGAGGGGAAGCTGCTTCTCACAGTACCAGGTGCACCAAGCCTGCATTAAGGTCTGCAGTATCTGTGGCTCACTTTCCCTAATTATGTATTTAAATCAACTATGGAAAACATAGGAATTTTTAAAAGCTGGTTTACATTCCTGGCTTTAAGGCAATCGGTCACCCCTACAGCATGCTATTACTGGGATTTTGAGCAGAAACTGCAGACTGGGGGGGTGTGACTGTAAGTGGAACGCAGACTGCTCAATTTCCTCACTAGCAATTGGATGGCCTTTCCTCATGTTAAGTTCTTAACATTGTGCCCAAACATGTCACAGGTTGGGTTGTTTATTCATCCCACTCGTTTTTGGAGGAGAAATGGGGAGAAGACAAAAGGAAGTTTTGAATATTCATTAGTTAGAATCCGTTCCTCCTAGATTCACAGAAACGTTGTTTACACAAAACAAGCTTATCGATTGGTATAACTTCCACTTAGCAGGTAAGTAATTTTCCACCAAAACCTGGCCTTATTATGTGAGAGAGAGAGAGATCTGAATGTAATATTTATTTGGTGACTTTACAGGTGATAAGTCATTTACAAAAACAAATTACAGACAAATGCAGCTTTCAGTGCAGCTTCAGCTACCTGAAGAACAGGCAACAGTCCAAGAGGTGGAATGCTGGTAATAGGCACCACATGCTTTTTTCTCTTTAATCTTTTGGAGGAAGAGGAGGAGAAGGAGGAGGAATACCTGTCTCTAGTAGATAAGGCCATGCAAATAGAAACCCTGCTGGAGAACAGGATACAGTCAACCTCAGGAGTAGTTTCTGAGAATTGGGCAGGTTTTTGTTTTCAATTAACAGAAACACGGATTGAAAGTTTCATAAGCAGCCCAGTGCTCTTCTTTAATGCAGCGTCCTTTGAGACTGCTTGCGTCTTCAACCACCTTTCATTCCATACCAGTACCACTGGTTCAGGAGCAAACGACTTCCTGAATCATGTGTAAATGGGAGGATTAAGCCACTATGGCTCCAGGCCCTCCTCTGTCCCATCATTCAGAGCAATTGCTGGGAGAGAAGAGGAAAGACAGGGAGGCTGAGGTAAAAAAAATACAGCTTGCCCATTAGATGCCAGAGCTAGCGGTTAGTGCCTGATAGTTTTGCACTTGGTTAGCTCATTCCTTTAAATGACATAACAGATTAGAAAGTCAGCACAGATTTGCATATATTTTGGGGGTGGAAATAAGACCCAAAATTAAGGGTATGAAATTTGATGAGATGCAAGATATTAAGAGCGCCCTACATCCCATGAAGGTAGTGGGAGGCAATCATGGACTGACTTTGGTTCCAAAGAGTAATGAACAGCATCTACAGTCCCCTTTACAATTCCTAACCAGAGGAAGACTTCGTTTATACTAGTGTTCTAAGAAAAAGTCAATCAGAACGAACGTGCTGTTCACTGAACAATTGTGTTATTTGTATAGAATATTTGTAGTTTTAGCAAATATGGTTTTCTAAGTAACAAAAAAAATTAAATCCAAATCCATTATTGGGCAGTTCAGACTAAGCTTTGTTCATTTTCTCATCCAATCCTGTAATAGGTACTTACAAACACTTGGCGAGAACAAGGATGTATGCATTTCTTGAGTTGAAATTTAAACAGCATATTATCTGTAACATCTAGGCCAAAAGTCTGAACAGGCCCAAGTTTGAACTCAGACACGACTGTACCTTGGCAGTTCCAGTCTCAGCAGTACGTTCAGTTTCTTGAAAAATTCGCAGCAGCACTGGGAAACTTTTTAACAATTTCCACTGGCATTAGAGTGAGGACAACTGTAGAAGGAAAGGGCGTTTTCCTTTTCAGCATAATCTATGCTTTACATGGAAAGCTTTTTTAAATAGCTCTCAAATATAGTACACAAGTGCTTTTTGGGGAGAAGGAAAGGACTACCAAAGTAACCTCTTAATAGCTGCCACAGGACCATTTCTAAGTAGTTATGCAGAGGGTGGAAGAGGTTGTAAGGGAAGATTGTGCATGCTTGGATGTATTTACAGGGTTTGTCTTCACATCTATTGGCTTTTTAAAAATCCCTACAATTAAATAGTTTTGTAAATTAAGTTTTGTTTTTGCAAAACTAAAGTCAAGCCATAGAAATTAATTGCATATAAAAGAAACCTATTTTACAGCACTATTAACTATAAAATCAACAGGAAAACATGCTGTAAAATTCTATTTTGATAAAACAAAAATCGCCCACAACATCACCACCCAAAAATTAAAGTCTTTATTTGCATGGCCAAAATATCCTTTAT